TCTGGCAGTAACTAGGAGTACTCCAATACTTGCAATAGGATCCAGGCATGATAGAATCACAGTAAGCATCACCGACAGGACAACCCGAATCTTCAGAAGCCAGAACAACCTGTTCTGCCGTAGACAAGGACACGCTGAAGTATGAGACAAGCGTAATAGCTAGTGTTAACATCACTGACATACTAAGCACGTAATAACAAAAAATAACTGAAGACAATGCACGTACACCATGGAACACTTCCCTCCAAGATGAGAGGAACAGAAAACATCAACCTTTAAAGCTTACAAACTTATCAAGTTACTAATGCTATACAGAAACCCCCTCGAATTTCACTTACCAACTGAGTACACTATAACAATAGAGTGATCACTTTAGACAACGAATCACAATAGCTATTAGCTAATGGCTAGAGTCGAGTGGATCACTTCATCACACATACTAGCGAGCCTGATTGGAGCACCCTTCTGTGAAGAAATGTCCTTTGGAGCTACCCGTATGAGTGCAGACCCTTAGAGTTGAGCTCCATGAGTTCATATGCTGATACACAGCATATTGGAAGGTCGCGTTCATCGGTTGTTTGGGTGTGTCATGAACCTCGAGCAGCTGAAAAGTGGAACCTCAAACTATATGGCTTATACGTTACAGTGGCCTTGAGAGAGAAGGTTTTTGTTTCTCGACGAATCAACGATTCTATGGAGTTGATCGTAAAAGTACAAGTCTGCCGATCAGTCGAGTTCGAACGCAACTAGCACCATCTCACCACGCATCCTGTTAAACGCGACGCGTTTATATAAGCTCCTCTCGACGCTGATAATTCGCGAAGTGTTGAATGAGTTTGTGAGTTTCATCGACTAAACACCAATAATTTGGATGAAGTATTAGATATTCACATATCTAACCTGCCTGAAAGAACATGAATAGATGAAGTGGTGAATAACACAGGGTTTAGAAACCTGTGAATGTAAGAAATCAATGCCCATTACATTAATAAACATCTTTTTGGATCTACTCTGGATTAATTCACGAGGTAAATCTCCAGCGTACAACACAACAGTTGTTGATCTACATGTTCCAACCTGACAAACTCAACTACTCGAATTGAACAATTAGTAAATTGTTGAAAGACCTAGTTTCATCGTGCCATTCAACCGGTGAGTTCCACCAAGACGCGTAGCTCTTGTCGGGCTACTCTACAACGAAATGAAATTAAAATATGACTTTCAAACTAGAACATAAACTACTCACCAGCCATATTGATGGCAGTAGACCAGACACATTCACACGGAATAGTCTCCCAAAGCTGACGCGCTTCAAAGCCCTCGCTCAAACGCCTGTCACTTTGACAGACACTAGGAGTACTCCAGTACTTACAATACGATCCGGGCATGATAGAATCACAGTAGTCATCAGCCTCCACGCAATCCAACACCCCAGTAGTTGTTGTGGTCGTAGCAGTTGCGGTAGTAGTTGTGGGAGTTCTAGTAGTAGTCGGAGGAGTTGCTGTAGTAGTCGGAGGAGTTGCTGTAGTAGTCGGAGGAGTTGCTGTAGTAGTCGGAGGAGTTGTGGTAGTAGTCGGAGGAGTTGTGGTAGTAGTCGGAGTTGTAGTAGTAGTCGGAGGAGTCGAAGTACAATCACATGGGATACTCTCCCAGAGCTGACGCGTCTCAGAGTCCATTCTCAAGCGTCGATCGCTCTGGCAGTAACTAGGAGTACTCCAGTACTTGCAATAGGATCCAGGCATAATAGACGCACAGTAAGCATCACCCTCTGGACAACCGGGAGTGCTGGAAGTAGTCGTGGTAGCCGGAGTAGTGGTGGTGGTAGCCGGAGTAGTGGTGGTGGTAGCCGGAGTAGTGGTGGTGGTAGCCGGAGTAGTGGTGGTGGTAGCCGGAGTAGTGGTGGTGGTAGCCGGAGTAGTGGTGGTGGTAGCCGGAGTAGTGGTGGTGGTAGCCGGAGTAGTGGTGGTGGTAGCCGGAGTAGTGGTGGTAGCCGGAGTAGTGGTGGTAGCCCATAGACAATCACATCTGACATTTTCCCAAAGTTGACGCTTTCCAGAGCCCTCGGTCAAACGTCGATCACTTTGGCAAACACTAGGAGTACTCCAATACTTACAATAGGACCCGGGGATGATAGAGGCACAGTAAGCATCAGCTTCCGTGCAATCCGGAATTCCAGAAGCTTCAGCAGCCAGAACAACCTGTTCTGCCGTAGACAAGGACACGCTGAAGTATGAGACAAGCGCAATAGCGAGTGTTAACGTCACTGACATGTTTAGCACGTAATAACGGAAAATAACTGAAGACAGCATCTGTACACCATCGATCAATTCCTTATAATTCGCGAGCAATTGGAAGCATCGCTCTCTGAAACATATCAATTCTTCAGATTTCAAATGACACGGAGAACTCAATCTTGAACTCTGCCCACTAACTGAATGCACTATAACAATGATCACTTTATAGACAGTGAATTACAATAGCTATTAGCTAATGGCTACAGATGATTAGACTTCCATCACACATTCTAGCGAGTTCAATTGAAGCACGCTCTTCATGTGAGGTACCTTCGGTTATACATCTCATGAGTTCTGCATGGCGTCTCTTATCCCAGTTACTGCCTATAACTAATACCCTGTCATGTTTCTGACTGACATCTTTCCGAAACTCATCCCGATTCGTTCCATTTGTCGAGTCTATCATATATCCGCTGATTCACACTGTACAACTCGACGAAACAGTTGAAATGCACTGCAGAAGGTCCACAAGTCACGGTCACGAATCATGGTCACTGATGAGGCGGCTTTAGTATCGGAGTAGAATTCATCTCTTGGACTGCCACGCGAGTTTCAGGCATTTCTGAACATGTTAACAGTTATGCATTGGCTGATGAGTTTCGACAGCAACGACGTAACATCTTCGGGTCATCCACGGATCGGTGGTAACCTGGACGTGTCCAGCACTTGACTTTCGGATGCTCGAACGAGAGAACTGATTCAGTGCAACCCACCTCGAGGACAATAGTATGGATACGTCTCGGACTTGTGAATGGTGTAGCTGCGATAAGGTCGAGACGAATACTCGTGCAACGGCAGGACTTGACCTGAGCTTGAGAGAACAAACTATCATGGAATAGCTCACTCACGCAAGTCGTTTCCAGATATCATCCGCGAAACCTCATTTTGCTCAAGACTGTTGTTCAGCTTGAAGCTCACAGGAGAAGAAGACAGATGAGCGGTACGAGATCAATGTAACCATCTAAAAGCACGCTAGCTATCCTCGGCTAGTCTAGCCCTGAGACAGTCTTTATCTCATCGCTACTGTCAACCATAACAGAGGCTGATGGTGCATAATACGTTGATGCTGACTATGAGTCAGTGACTTCAACGCAGGGAATATCGATCGCCCTTGTATTATTCACTATAATCTAAACTCATCCTTCTTAATCACTTGGGAGAAACATCTCTACTACTTAGCAAAGGGGTAGCCTAAACAATGGCATCATAGCAATCACAGAATTTGAGCGCCTCGTCAGCGCACTGGAGCAGATGATCGTTCGAACGATCAGCCTCCAAGTAAAGGCACTTGAAATTAGGCAGTAGAAAAAATGCAAAATAGCAATCAATTGAGATCAGAGGTACACCACTCATGCATTCAATGCCGAGTCACGGATTTCATCGGCCTCCTTCTGAGTCTTCTTGTTACGACGTGTCAGTTCAGTAAACTGCTCCGGAGTGGCTTGGAAGTCCTGGAAGCCAGCAGCATCGAGCCACTCAGTAGATGGGCCATAGCCAACTTGAGTATAACCCCAATCAGAATAACCATTCTGATATTTGCCGAGGAGAGTATAATGCAAATTGAGCCACTTCTCAGTAACATAGTCACCAAAGCCGT